TCATGGCTTTGGTTGGAAGTTGGAAAGGAAAGTAGCCAGGTGTTTTTCTTCTTCCTACTTTACAAGCTTAAACACAGTGTTGTAACACTTTAATAAAACACAACACTGGAGTTAGCATTGTATAATGTTAGGCAGATGTGTGGTTTCTGGTCCAGGTTAGGGTGACAGGAGGTCAAAAGCAAAAACACAAGGCAAGATAGCCACTACGACAAACTGATGGAGGAATAAAGGTCCTGGGCTGCTACAGAGAGACTGACTGTTAGGGGAAGTGAGAGCAGGTGAGCAGGTGAATCAACAGAAGGTCTGGTGAATGCAGGGCTGATGAGGGAAGTGAGAACAGGTTCTATCTGAAAATGGTGTGAATAGTTTTGCTAAGGATTCCCAGTGTGTCAGAGGTCTTTAATGATAAAATTCTAGCTATTAGAGACAAAATTCACCAAGACCTGCCCTCAACTGGCACCGACTTATCTCTTAACTCAGGAACCTTAGAAACAGCTGTAGAACCAGATACATGTTTAGACTGTTTTGCTTCCCTCAATCTTTACCAACTAACTTCAATAATTTCTTCATCTAAACCATCAACCTGCCTCTTAGACCCCATCCCGACTAGGCTGCTTAAAGATGTTTTACCCTTAGTCAGCACCTCTATACTAGATATGATCAATGTATCTTTATCAACAGGCTATGTACCACAGTACTTTAAAGTAGCTGTAATTAAACCTCTTCTGAAAAAGCCCAAACTTGATCCGGATGTTTTAGCAAACTATAGACCTATATCTAACCTTCCATTTCTCTCTAAGGTTCTGGAGAAAGCAGTTGCTAAACAGCTGTGTGACTTTCTACAGAGCAATAGTTTATTTGAGGATTTTCAGTCAGGATTTAGAGCTCATCATAGCACAGAGACAGCACTGGTGAAAATTACTAACGACCTCCTTATTGCATCAGACAAAGGACTTGTCTCTGTACTGGTTTTATTAGATCTTAGTGCTGCATTTGATACCATTGACCATCAGATCCTATTGCAGAGACTGGAATATTTCATTGGCATTAAAGGAACCGCTCTAAGCTGGTTTAAGTCCTATTTATCAGATCGATTTCAGTTTGTACATGTTAACGATGAGTCCTCCATGCATGCCAAAGTTAGTCATGGAGTTCCTCAAGGATCTGTCCTCGGACCAATCCTCTTCACTTTATATATGCTTCCTTTAGGCAATATTATCAGGAAACATTCCATAAGCTTTCATTGTTATGCAGATAATACTCAGTTATATCTATCGATCAAGCCAGATGAAACTCATCAGTTAGCTAAACTTCAAATGTGCCTTCAGGATGTTAAAACCTGGATGACCTGTAATTTTCTCATGTTAAACTCAGATAAAACTGAAGTTATTGCTCTGGGGCCTAAGCACCTCCGTGACGCATTATCTAAAGATATAGTTTCCCTGGATGGCATCGCCCTGGCCTCCAGCACCACTGTGAGGAATCTTGGAGTTATCTTTGATCAGGACATGTCGTTTAAGTCTCACATTAAGCAAATTTCAAGGACCGCCTTTTTTCACCTACGTAATATTGCGAAAATCAGGAACATCCTGTCTAAAAATGATGCAGAAAAACTAGTCCATGCATTTGTTACTTCTAGGCTGGATTACTGCAATTCCTTATTATCAGGCTGCTCGAAAAAGTCCATTAAGACTCTTCAGCTGATCCAGAATGCTGCAGCACGTGTTCTGACAGGAACCAGGAAAAGAGATCACATTTCTCCTGTTTTAGCTTCTTTGCATTGGCTTCCAGTAAAATCCAGAATAGAATTTAAAATCATTCTTCTTACCTACAAAGCTCTTAATGGTCAGGCACCATCTTATCTTAAAGAGCTCATAGTACCTTACTACCCCACCAGAGCACTGCGCTCCCAGAATGCAGGGTTACTTGTGGTTCCTAGAGTCTCCAAAAGTAGACTAGGAGCCAGAGCGTTCAGCTATCAAGCTCCTCTCCTGTGGAACCAGGTTCCAGTTTGGGTTCAGGAGGCAGACACCATCTCCACATTTAAGAGTAGGCTTAAGACTTTCCTCTTTGATAAAGCTTATAGTTAGGGCTGGCTCAGGTAGTCCTGAACCATCCCTTAGTTATGCTGCTATAGGCCTAGACTGCCGGGGGATTTCCCATGATGCACTGAGCTCCTCTCTCCTCTACTTTCTCTCCCTCTGTATGCAACCTCATCCCATTATTGCATGTTACTAACACAACTTCTCCCCTTTCTGGTAGTCTTGTGCTTTCTCGTCCCTCTCCTCTCTCCTCCTATCACTTCCTGCAGGTTTTCTGGCTCTGGAGCTGTGGAGTCTGGATCTGTGGCTGCGGGTCACCTGCTGCCCCCGTGTTCCTGCTCGACACCCTCTGCTGCAACGACTATTGTTGCTAGTCTTATTGATATTATTGTTATTATAATCATTAACATTATGATTGTTACCATTAACACTATTATAAATATCTGTACCATTTTTCATTTAGTCTATAGCAACATCACCTTCACTGTCTGTACCTCTGTGTGTATATTGTGTAGGCTGCCTCCCTCCCCTCTCTCTCTCCTTACATCCCTCTTTTTCTCTCTATTCCTCTCCTGCTCTCTCTCTCTCTCTCTCTCTCTCTCTCTCCCTCTCTCTCTCCTTCACCCCCAACCGGTCGAGGCAGATGGCCGCCCACCCTGAGCCATGGTTCTGCTCGAGGTTTCTGCCTCTTAAAAGGAAGTTTTTCCTTGCCTCTGTCGCCTAGTGCTTGCTCTTGGTGGGAACTGTTGGGCTTCTGTAAATATCATCACAGAGTACGGTCTAGACCTGCTCTTTTATGAAAAGCGCTGTGAGATAACTGTTGTTGTGATTTGGCGCTATATAAATAAAATTGAATTGAATTGAATTGAATTGAATTACCCAGTCAGCATCGATGTATATATAAAACCAACCCACTGAAATGGGATGTTCTCTGCTATTCTGGATGGCAAAGGCAGTGAATGTAACATTGAGCAAATTTTATAGTGTTAAACACATCTTATTAACTGATTTTATCAGGCAAATTCTTCAAAAAGAATGCTAAGAATCACTGTGAGCACTGATTCTATGGAATTCTAAAGAATGGCCCGCTCAGCTCGTTGATCTGGTAGTCAGGTAGGGAAAAGTGCTGAAGGGGCCTGGGAGAGAGAAGATGCAGCTGAAGAGGGAGGCGGTCATTGTGACATCAGACAATTTCTATCTGATTTCAGTGACAGTGCTGTGCTGTGCGACCTTCACAAGGTCAGGAGGTCTTCAACTGTAAAGAAATGACATGTCATGTTATGTGAGATTTTCCATTAGTTTACAAAGATAAATTCTTCTGAGAAATATAACACTCAGAGACACTGTAGACCTGTGTAGGCATGCAGTCAGTTAACACACACATAAATCAAACCAACCCATGTTCTCAGGAAAGACACGTACACACACACACACACACACACACAATGTCAGCTCCACACTTATTTTAGGTTACATGTTTTTTCTCACTAACAGGGAGATATGTGGGCAGATTTATATTCTGTCGCACTGAATTAGTTTGTCTACAAACATGTAAATGAGGCAAAGGCTACTCTAAGTAAGTCTACTAAGAATCTGAACAAGAATGCAAATTCCAATATTTCCGATGCTTTAGAGTTTTCTTTAAGACCCCCCCCCTCTCAAAGCCCACTGTCTTCTGATTGGCCAAGACCTGAAGCATGTTACCAGGCTATTGTTGCTGCTGAGCGGTAGACAGACTGAGCATTGCTGTGTGGAGCAAATGACCATATATGGAACACTGGCTCCGTCTAGCTCCGTGTGTCAGAACGGAGCCATTGGTAGAAAAAGCTGTTTAAAACAGAGTATTCAGAACAGGAGGAAATCTGAGGTTTTACTCACAGGGATTTCTTTTAAATACTTTAACCTCATTATTTGAAGCTTTGGCCATGTTTAACATGTACATCCAACATTGTAACATTGAAGATGAGTCATAAAACATGGAAAAGCACAATAAGTCTCCTTTAAATCATACATCTGATGATATGCCTACAAAATCCTTGACTTTGTGCAAGTGTACCTAGAAGAACTGATACTGTTTTGAAGGCAAAGGGTGGTCACACCAGATTTTGATTTGATTTAGTTTTTTCCTCTGTCCATTCATTTTTTCTTTTGTTAATTAATGAACATATTCTATTAACATGTCTACACACACACACACACACACACACACACACACATACATACATACAGCTGGGCTGACAACGTTATAACCTCTCAGAGTGAGCACAGGACTCTTATTGATGACTGATGAAAGATACCCGTTAAGCCTGTGTTGTAAATAACTGTGAGGCATGCAGGGTCAGTTCAGCGATGACATATGAACATATATTTTGACAACCAGCTGGGGTTGTTTTTGCCTTTTTGATGTTATCTGCGGTTTGCACACCCTAGTACAACTGATATATTTAGTGTTGTTTTAGAAACAGAGCTGCGGTCACTGATACTTATCAGTGGTAATCAAACATTTTTTGTATACTATCATGATCGTCTTGCCAAATGTAAGGGTGTTTCTGAAACAAGTATAATAGCATGTATTTATTCTCTATAAAAAGTGGCAAATAAAATAAATAAATGATTTCTTTAAAATGCATCATGAATTCACCTTATCTTCAGAGCATACTGTATGTTAACATCAGACAGTGTTCCGTGTCTGATGTTAAAGTGTATCTAGTTGTGGAGATGATATAGTTTTTTCTCTGTTTAACAGACCTGGTTGAAACTTTTTTACTAACATTTTTGGCTTTCAAATGTCCCTGACTGAACTACAGTACACATTTATGGCAGCATTGGAGTTTTTCTGTAGATCTGAGCCACAGCCCATAGTATTTCTGGCCTAATTGTCCTTGCCCATTAGAATAACAGAAGTCAGCTCCTGCTGGGTGTGTATGTCTTTTGAGTTACAGTCTCTATATTTTGCAGGTGTGTCATCTCCTCTGGCAGCAACGGTGGACTACAATTCTCTCATTCCTCAGATAGGATGTTTCTGTGGGCAGGTAGTAAAGCCACAGATGGAAGAAATGACCGCAGGTAATGAATGCTGCCTTGTTCGATTTGTTTCGATGTTCACCATGGCAATGATCAAAATTTCAGTGTAAAAAGCAGTCAAACTGTCAGTTGAAGAGCAAATGATGAGCACATTTAATATCGGTTGAAGAGAAATCATCAAAGCAGTTTAAGTGTGTGCAATGTTAATAATTAAAGTGTCAGTTGGCATGTAAGCAGTTTAAAGGGTAAATATTTGTTGAAAGGTCAGTTGAGGTGTAGAGATTGAAAGCAGTTAAACTGTCAGTTGAAGGGTAAGAGATGAACACACTTAGAGGTGCATCATGCTTTTTGGCTTGTTCCCTCTCCTTTATTGAGTTATATACCTTTTTAGTGCATGTAATATGTTTGCAAAGAGAAAAAGATCAAAGTCCAGCCCAAAGGGAGTTCCCATCTCCCACAGAAAACTCTGCTCTGAACTGCCTGAAAACATCTTGTTTGTAGTCCAGACGCTTCCCTTTCATCCCTGTGACGTCACGTGGATGAAAGCTAAATGCGCTTCATATAACGCTCGCCAAGCGGCTAGTCCAACTCGCCCTCAAAAACACTGGTGGAAAAACAGTGAGCTGCAGCACACACCTCTCCTCTCCCTTCCAAACACTAGCTACCCTCCAAGCAGTCAATGGACATGAAGTTGTTACTGTGATGTAGAGACAGAGCTCAGTTAAAACTTTATGGATGAAAGATACATTGTGCAATGTGCAGTATGACAAAAAATAAGGTTTTTTGAAAATTAAACCATGTAAAGCTGTTCTGGTACAACCCCTAAATAGGATTTTGAACCTGAAAATGAGCATAATACCACCTCTTTAAAGTCAAAAGGGTACAATCACATTTAGTCTTCGGGATCAGCTTAGAAACAACAAGCAAGACTTCATTTGAGGATCTCATGTAGCATTTTCGTTCATAAGACAAGAAAAAAGTATATCAAGTATCTAGAAGCCAAACAAGTAAAAAGTACAGTATACATTTCAAACTGTCAAGGGGCTTCTTTAATGTTTTTTAGATCCATCTATCAGAAGATTCGTGAATATGACGTCCTGGACAAGAGGAAGACAGTGACAGCTCTGAGGGCAGGAGAGGACAGAGCCATACTGCTGGGCCTCAGTATGGTCCTTCTCTCTGTCATGATGTACTTTGTCCTGGGAATCACCATACTGCGCTCTTACTCGGACAGGTAATAACAGGTCACAAGGTCACTTACAGTTTCAGTTCAGAAAACAGAAATATGTTCTTTTTATGTTGACTTCATTGTGATTATTGACTTAAAATGTATGATCGTCTGCATATTCACACACAGTAACGAACTAACCACTTTGAAAGTACAATTGCATTGAAAATGACTGCTCTTTCTCTACAGTGTATGGACAGACGAGGCTAACTGTACTATTGTCAACTCCACCATTGTGTGGGATGTAAACTGTTCATACAGCTGTGGAGCAGAATGCTGGAAGAGTTCCCGTTATCCCTGTCTCCAGGTGTATGTCAGCCTCAACTCCTCAGGAAAGGTGGTACGACTGTTGCACAACGAGGAGACGCAGGACAGCAGTCCTGAGGTACTTTACAACTGATTGTGTTGCTGTTGTTTCCCTGTTCCCTCCCCCTCTGGTATCTAACTGGTATCTTTGACAAAATTTGCAGTATAATTGCTGTAAACCACGATGAGCTGGCATCTAGGTATGGAGCGTTTTAATTGGATTGACCACGCGGGAACCTCTGGGTCTAAAAAATGAAGGCACTGCATGAGTACCTTAAAGCTGCATTATCTCTAAAGGCCTGCAGGTCTACAGGTTGCAAAAAGAAGTCTGATTATATGTGAGCTTATGAGAAAATTACCCTACTTCTTACTTGATTTATGAAAACATTTTTGTGGTTTTAGCATCATGGGAATTAAAGTAATTAATTAACCCCTTTGCTAAGTCACACCCCCCCCTAAATTACTGTGTCTGACAAACTATTGGACCTGTCGGATTTATCACGGCGCAGTCACTATCTATAACTGCACTCCCTGAAGAAATGGTTTTTGGAAAAGGGAAAAAAGCAATCTCAGAAAGGAGACTGAAAGGTTTGCATTATACATTTGAAGGTTGTATTCAGGCTGTCAAACTGACGTGAAACAACTAAAGACAGAAGCTAAAGCCTACCGATCACAGAGTAAAGGTGAACCATTGCTCTGTTCATTATTGCAATCATGAAAAAACCAAAACAGTAGGGTTATATAACATTAGCCCACATTCAGTAGCAAGTTAAGTTAGTTAGCATTAGCTCCATTAGGAACAATCCACAGCCTACATTTTTTAGGATTTTTTTCAGGCTTTGGAAAGGGATAAAATCTTACTTCTCTTTTCAACCTCTCTGGTAGGGGCGTAGGTATAGACAGTGCAGACAGTGCAGCTGCATCGGGGCCGGCACTCTACTGTAGGCCCTTGACGGTGGCAGCCCCACCGTGTACGGGCTGATCTTTGTCAGTTACATGGTAAAAATGAATTGAGTCTCATCACTCATTACTAAACACACATTTCACCTCAAACTGCCTTTTCAATGGCGATCGAGTGCTATATATACACTCATATGTGCATTTCCCCCTTTGCCGTGGTGTCTCACATCACAGACTTTTGTGGGTAAAATAACTGACTGCTGAATGCTCAGTCTAAAGTTTCTATTTGATCATGTGACAACACGACAAGACTCCAGAAATTGAGTGAAGTGCAAAATCTGACAATTAGACTAGCAGAGCACACGTGCAAGCTAGCAGTCATGCTATTCACACATAAAAGTTGTTTCAAGAAGAGACAAACAAGAGAGAAAACAAACAGGAGAAAAGGCTGTCAGGGTCAGCTCGCTGCTCAGTAGGCCTACCTGTTTAATTTTGTGGATGTGCCTGTGGGTATTACATCGTGTGTGCGCTGTAGCTGGCCTGTTTTCAGGACATGGTGTTGTGTTAAGAGTTGACCACTTTTCTTTCTTATTCACCGTACTGTCTTGCCTCTATCTAAGAGGAATGTCGTTGTCGTGATTCAGGAGGTTATTGTACTGAAATTGCCCCAAAAAGTGTAATTTCAGCACTGTTGACACCTCCTGCACTCAGCTGTTTGTGGTGATGTTTCAGGATTTTGACAATGACAGCACAGGCCATGCTCCTTATAACTTTCTCTGACTTCTGTACTTTGCAAATACAAAAGTCTAGGTGACACATTTCAACTCTAAAATCCATCACATGATGGTACTTTAGACTGCTGCGTCCAGGTGCACTCAGCACAGCCACAGCAGCAGATTTTTGTGTTAGAGAGAGATGCATACAAAGAGAACTGTTGAATTTAATATGTTAATATGGAATTTAGAGAGCTTTTAATTAGGTATTTACTGCATCTAATCTTATCTGTTGTTAAACCTTGCACAAAAAGGAAACAAGGCACATAAATCTGCCAATACAGACACGAACGCAGTGTGTGCATGTGTGCTTCGTAACAGGCCCATCATAACAGCCTGCATTGAGGCCCATTGTTACCACCTTACGCCACTGCTCTCTGGGTAGCAACTTTAATTATTACAAGTGCTCCAGGAACAGTGTTTGACCATATCTTGGAAAAATATAGCAAAAAAAATCTAGAAAATGACTCCTTTGCATACGAGTCAATGGAACACAGCCACGAAAGTGCCGGACTTCAGTTACAGCGAGTCCTATACTGCACTGTGATTGGCGGGCTGCGTATTCAGGGCGTGGCTTAGCGAATGGTCAGTTGACTAAGCAAAGGCTACAATTATTTCTCTTCATTTATTCTAAACTTTAAATCTGCAAATCAAATTATGTTATGTAATCCATCACTCACATTTGGGAAATGCAATAGAATGAGAGGGATCATATGGAAGTATTTTGGAGGGGGTGCACCAGCTGTTTGAAAGTGCAAACTTATCCTAATATTTGACCTATTTATATTGAAGGGAAAAGGTTAATATGGAACACCACCATATCTCACCTGACACTTGATCGAAATGCAACTTAATAATGAAGTGAACTGAGAAGGTTTAATATATTGTTTGGCCAGCATTCATGTTACAGCTTGTGATGCCACAGTGACCAAGGAACCAATAAACAAATGACCAAAGTCTTTATTAGTTCAGACATTTCTATAAACGTTTTAATGATGCTGAGTGATTTAATAAATCGATAGTTTGAAGCTAGCTAGTAGTTACTGCGAACTTAGGAAGGACCAGCTGATGCAACTCAGTTCTTGACTGTGAATGGCCAAAATATTTATGGAACCTTAATAACACCTGGACTACCACAGCAAAACAATGTTTCAGTTTTTCTCTTTTTCTGTTCTTTCCTTCAGTGCTTCTACATCCCAAAGTGCCTTAAGGACTATGCAGCCACACATGTGATAGTTCAGAACATTTCTGAGCGTCTCAGATCTCAGCACACAGTACAGTGTTTTGTGGACCCAACAGACAGAATGGACAGTGCCATCCTGACACAGATCTATGGTCGAGTCGCCGTCTTCCACTCCCTGTTCTGGCCAACCTGCACCTTGATTGGAGGAACCATCATCATTGCCATGGTGAAGCTGACCCAGTACCTGTCTATCATGAGCGAGCGACTAAACCGCATTAAGAGGTGAAGGGTGGGAAGGCCATAAGTTTAAAGGGAAGTTCCCGTTAAATGGGCACGTGGACAACTGAAGGATCTTCATGGGGCCAAGACTGAAAGACAAAGTGGAGGGAAAGCTGAAATGTGACAGCTGGAATGCTGGGATTCTCAGTGACAATCTAAAAGCAGCTAGAAGCATACATTTCTAGTCAGTAATTTCTAGGATTTGTGCAAATGTGAAATAATGTTTTTAAGCACCCTATTCTGCGATCTCTAGCTTCACAAGGCTAGTTGTTACAGGAATAGTTCATTTTTGAAAATATGCTTATCCACTTTCTTGCCAAGATGAGAAAATGGACATCACTCTCCTATCTGTGCATTAAATATGAAGCTACGGCCAACAGCCAATTAGCTTATCTTAGCAAACAAACTGGAATGATAGAGAACAAACATCTGGCCTGGCCCTGTCCAAAGGTAACAAAACACTACCAGGACCTCTGAACCTCTACTTAATTAACCCTATATATCTTGTTTGTTTAATGCATGCTTGCTGTTTTCCCCTGTTACCAATCTTTGTGTTAAGCAAAACTAACAAGCTGCTGATATTGATCTTCTCTTCCAATTCCCTCAAGAAAGCGGTTGAGTGTATTTCCTAAAATGTCATTCTATTTTTTTAAAGACACATCTTCTTAAAGGACACCTATTATGCTTTTCCATATTTTATGACTTATCTACAATGCTGGATGTTCATGTTAAACATGATCAAAGCTTCAAATAATGAGGTTAAAATATTTAAAAGAAATCCCTGTGAGCAAAAACCTCAGATTGTCTTCCTGTTCTGAATGCTCTGCTCTGAATCTACAGCTTTTTCTACCAGTGACTTTGTTCTACAACACACGAAGCTAGACGGAGCTGGTATTCAATATATGGTCATTTGCTCCTCACACCTATACTCAGTCTGCCAGTACCACTCAGCGGCAACAACAGCCTGGTAACATGCTTCAGGTCTTGGCCAATCAGAAGATAGTGGGCTTTGAAAGGGGGGCCTTAAAGAGACATGAGCATTTACAGCTTGTTTCAGACAGGGGCTGAAATGAAGGCCTACATGAAGAGTCAGTATAAGATAGAATTTTTTTTTTGAACTTTGAATCATGCAAAGCTGCCATACAGGACTCACAGAACTACAATATAGGGCTGGAAATACAGTATAATAGGTCTCCTTTAAACTGTACCTCAGTACCAAAACATGTATTTTGGGCCATTTGGGTCCAGCTGTTTACCAAGGTCTGCTAATGCTTTACTGTTCCTACCTGTATATTAGGATGAGAGAACTGGTTACATGTGAAAAAGGTTTGCCAAAAGCTCATGTGAAGATCATATAAGGCTGAATTTCAGAGACTCTCACAGGAGGTTTATGATAATGTCTAGCTCTGACATGCCAAGTGCATGAAATAAAGAGGAGAGCAACTTTCTGCTTCACTTCACTGTAAATAGTAAATGGTCTGTACTTGTATTATGCCTTTCTAGTATTTCCCACCACTCAAAGTACTTTTACACTACATCACACTCACCCCATTGCCACACATTTACACAGAAACAGAACTTTCTGTACAATTCACAATCACACCACTTTAGCTCACTAACCACATTTCTTTCATTTCCTCATCTTATGCTGAAAGTAAAGAGCATAGGATAGGTTGCTGGCAGCCTTGCAGATACATGTATTCTGCATAATTGTGCATCATGCAGAGCAATAAAGGAACTAACACCCACAAGGCATAAATAGTAAATTTACACCAGCATCCTGTTTCAATCTGAAACATGTAAGTATTTCTATTTCTGCTCAAAGATAAAAGACAATTTCTTTAGACACAGCAGGACTCAGGCAGGTTGAAGCAACACAGTGAGCGTGTGTCTTCAGCTGCAGCCATGGCGCTCAGGTGGATCATTCTGTTCTTTGGCCTGGGACTGGTAAGTGTAAGCCTTTGCATCTTTGTCAAACACTAACAATATGCAAAACAATGCTGTAATGTTGAGTCCCAGGATGTCAGTTCATTCTTTAGTAAGTTAAGCCATCAGTTTTCTCTGTTAAGTGATTGATGTGCTTTCTAATGTATTTACTAGGCAGCAGCCAAGCTAACAGGTGACACAGGTGAGTCACTTATTAAGATGTTTTTATCTTATTTACTGTGAAAAGGTAGACAGAATAATTTATTCAGTATAATTTGAGTAAGAAGATTTGAAATACCCTAAACACTTGTGATCTTTTGCCAGTGAATGCCTGTATCTGCAATTGCATTTTACAGTGGTGATTAACAGTGTCCCTGCTGCACCCTTCACGAACTGAAGTTGTACATTCAGCTTAGCAGAAAAAGTTGTAACTCAGAACTTCCTACTTCCCACTGGAATGTATTCCAGTGGCTGAGGTGTCCACAATATGAACACCTGCAAGAAATATGTGCCTCTTTGCCTAAAATAGCAAATAAAATACAAATAAAATAGCGCACAGCAGAATATACATGTAAGAGTGAATAAGCTCTAAAATATATGTGACAGAGTCACATATAAGTCGCACCCCTGCCCTGCCCTATCATGTCATTGGGGCACAGCTCAATGCTAATTGTGCCAATAAACAGTATAATAATAATGTTTTTTACCTCCTGTAATCACATTTTGAGCAGCATATTATTGATTCTTCATCTGCAGAAATTGATGTTGATGAAGGCCAAGACTGGGACATCTTTAGCATCAATGAAGGTTTGTGTATCATTGAGTTTTATTTTTTACATTTATACGTCTTATACGATGATTTTCATCAACCAATTCAATTTTCCTTTGCAGCGGCTGGTCTGGACCTGCTGGAGGGAGACATCGTACAGGAGGAAGTAAGCTTGTATGCACAGACACCAAAGACTCCAAAAACTCTTCTGCTGCTAATAATCTGCAAATTCAGGCCTGTTTAGTATGACATTATATTTTTTGTCTAAGTTCTGGGCACGAGATGGGACATTTGAAGATTTGTTCCACAAACATAAAGAGCCTTCGCAACTTTGTTTTTTAGATCCTAATAGTGATTAGATTGAAGATCAAACAACGAATCAGAAAGTACCTATTCAAAATATTTTTAGAATTGTGTGCTTATGTGAACAATGGATTATATGGAAGTACAAGGGACATAGGTACAATTGTCTGAATTTGTAAGTGTTTTAGTAATAGTATTCAGAATCAGCTTTATTTGCCAGGTATGTGTAAACATACTAGGAATTTGACTCTGGATTGTAATGCTCACGATGTGCTTACTTATACAATAATAAAATCAGACAGCTACAGTATAGAGAACACATATATACACTCTATGAACAAAACAATATAGACAGATTGAGACAATAGTGCAATGAGCAGAGTGCAAAGGATGCAGGAGTAAATTATTATTACCATTATTATTATTATAATTATGTGCATGTCGGACGTGGATGAGATATACAGTTACACATGCACATACATGTATACATGTACACATGTACACAGTGCAATTGAGCATAGTGCAAAGGATGCTGGAATAAATAAAAATTACGTGCAGGTGTTATTTAGCCTACTTGAGTTAGGTGGATTTGGTATACAGTATATACAATATACAATATGAACAGTATGAACAGCTCTGAAATAGAGAATGATGAATAAATAATAAGTGGTAACCAGTAAACAAGTGATTATTAAGGCAAAGATAATGTTTGTCTTAAAAAATGGTGAAGTTCAAATAACTTAACACATGGTTTTGTTATTAAAACCACATCTCAATGTGTTAAACACATTCCCAGGGCGGAGGTGCCGCCCAAAAATTGCCTCACAGTTCATGAGTTACTGACCAAAACACAAAGTATTTTATGACTGGCCACAAGGTCAAGCCATTAGTCTCATGTTCCTTTCTGTCGTGTGCATACGTATGGAGAAGTGTGTATCAAATTTGATTTTATTAAAGACAACAGAAATGTAGAAATGTCATGTTTAATATTACTATAGAGTCCCCTATGAGTAGAATTGTATGAAATGTTACACACATGTACCTGCACAACATTCCCAAATTTGGTGGCAATCCAATTTAGTATTGAAGAGGTACTGCCCGTGCATCAGGCCACGCTTTCAAATGTTTGTGAATCAATTACAGACAAATAGTAAGTGATAACCAAAAATAAACCAATAAGTTTTGTTCGTGGTCATCTTAATATGGTATGTCCCAAGTTAGGTGAAGATTGGCTGAAAAATGTGCCATTAGAAGCAAAATCCAAAATGTTGAAAGATTTTTCAAGGAACACACTGTGAAGATACTGTTTTATTAGGCTTCACAGTTCATGAGTTAGTCAAAACCTAACATAAATAACCACATGGCGGCGCTACTGAATATATGCTTTAATATGCTGAGAATATCCCAATGGTGCACCAATATAGCAGGTATGATTACTTTAGCATGTATCATATTTGAGATTTTAATGAATATATGTGCACTATTGTATTAAAATATTTATCTTATATCTTAACAACTGTAACAGATATGAAAAAGAAAAGTAATAAAGAAACATCTGCTTATATGTGAAATATATGTGAAAATTAGAATAATGTATCTGCAAACATGTGTAGGCAAGAAGAAGGAGAATAAGAATATAGTAAGAATAAGAATTAAAGCTGCAAGCAGTGTTGGGTGGGCACATGTCGAGGTTTGAGGCAGATGCGTTGCAGATTCTGGAGCTCTGACAGTGTGGCTGTGAATTTGCCATGGGCTTTGGACGCTCCACAAACATGATAATCATCACTTCCTGTGTCCCCTTTGTTGCGCTACATAGCACTTCGCACTACGACTATAACTGAACATGTAGATGTGTTCGGGGCGGGACTGTTATGAAGCTCGTAAAGTTTGGTGCAGACGTGAGCATGTACACTGAAGTTAAAACAACTTCCTGTTTCATGACAAATCATGTCATGTCATGTGTTGAGGGTTTTCTGGGACAGTTTTGAAGTTGACACGTCCAACCTGCTAGGAGTAGTACATTACAGCATAAAATGTTTAATTTCCTGTTGCCAGCAGGTGGCGCTATGACTTTGAGGGAATATTGGCATATGGATGCGTTCAGGGCGGGACTATTGTTATACTTATCAGATTTGATTCAGATCTGAGCATGTGTACTGAAATTATAACAACTTCCTGTTTCATGGCAAATCATCGATACTTGACAGCACGCCACAGGAAAACTGGTTGACTGGTAATAACCGTTTGAATAACTTTTAATCGTCAATTGGTTAAGACTGCACAGCAAAAATTTGAAGTTGATCGGACTAAATACCTAGGAGGAGTTCGTTAAAGTGTGTAAATCGCAAGAAATGACCATAAAATCCAAAATGGCCGACTTCCTGTTGGGGGTAGGGCATCGCTCCAAGAGGCTTTTTTGTACGTCTGGCCAAAATACACGTACCACAGTAATTTCATACACGTAGGTGAAACTTTGTCTGGGGGCTGCTCTGTAAGGGGCGCTAGCGAGCCATTTTGCCACGCCCATGCGCGACACCCCGTAAAATACAAAATTTTTCACCGCGTCTGAATTATGTGCAGTTTCGTGAGTTTTCAAGTATGTTTAGGTGCCTAAAATTGAGGTTACTTTGCAGAAAAAAGAAATAATAATCCCTGTGCATAATCCCTCACACGGTTCGTGCTTGGGCCCTAATAATCCCTCCTCGCACGGTTCGTGCTTGGGCCCTAATAATCCCTCCTCGCACAGTTCGTGCTTGGGCCCTAATAATCCCTCCTCGCGCAGTTCGTGCTCGGGCCCTAATAATCCCTCCTCGCGCAGTTCGTGCTCGGGCCCTAATAATCCCTCCTCGCGCGGTTCGTGCTTGGGCCCTAATAATCCCTCCTCGCACAGTTCGTGCTCGGGCCCTAATAATCCCTCCTCGCACGGTTCGTGCTTGGGCCCTAAATATAAAAAAACACAATTAAAGCTGCTGGAGGTTGGTTGACACAGCTGTAAAAGTTTGTGACTAGTGGACACTGCATGAATGAGGAAATTATTTGAAATATGTTTTATATAACGTTCCCTTCTTTTGACAATAGGAGGTAATGCATCAACACTTTTACTTGAGGCCTGACATGAATATACATTTTCATGAATATAGGTCATTGCATGACAGACTTAAATATCACTTCCTCTGTCCACTATGTGGCGCTAGAGAACACACACAAATTATACACTGTGCTGCTGCATATCAAGTGTACACCACACAATGGAAAATACATCAAGGTTTTCTGCCTGTCCTCTCTTGCTGATTGAAACCACATGGTTAGTCAACTCATTAAAAGTCAACCTGACTTGACAAACGCAACTTAGAATCAGCTTTGCAGTTTTGTTGCATCTAACATAACTAGGATGACTTTGACTGTTTGCCTACTTGAACTATAATACCGACTGATTGTTAATTGACATGGCTGCTAATGTCAGAATTGCTAATTTGCTGATAAGGTAAGATAACTGCAGTCCTCCCTTCAGTTCTGTGAGCCAATGGGGTTTAGTAGTAGTAGGGTTTTGTTGTGTCCCATTGTATACAGGCTACGTAAAGATCTGTGCATTCCGAGATGAGTCTGACCTTTCACCTTCTGTGCAGGGGCACTAGCTTGCACAGGTCATTTTGCCACCAGCTTGTGGCCACAGATGCACTTTCCAATCACGTCCATCATTATCAGTGCTGTCTTCATCATCATTACACGTATAGTGTTAAACAGACCAAGGAACTAGGTGATAGAGTTGGACCAGACTATGAACAGACTTACCGTGTAAAATGTGTATCCGAACCCATTTAGGATCCGGGAGACTTATACTTTGAAGCAGTCAAATATAATACAACTTAATTGGCCTCAGGTCTCAATATGATTGTTTTGAATGACACTGAGTAATTCCCCTACACTGATAGGGACAATTTACAGAACTACAAGCTTACAGATGATTAGGTCTTCTAGTAGGATGGAATACCTTCATTTTCTTGAAGGGAATCTGGTTTGGATGGAAATCAAGGAAAGGTAGCAATTTAAAAACTCTTAAGTCAGTCTGTTCAAGTTTCTGTTTCTCATGTCTCCATTGTTAATTCTATGCCTGTTGTTTCCTTTGTTCCCATCAGACATTCATCAGAAACTCAATCATAGGAGATGAGTATCGCTGGCCAACAACCGTTCCTTACTACCTGGAGGACTGTCTGGGTAAGACACGGTGTTTTGGAAACTCCACACAGTAGTTAGCATGTTATTATGGAAATGCACCAAATTAGTTTGCTTTATCAATATTTATGTTCTTACACTTTGTAATGTGTAGAGATGAATGCAAAGGGAGTAATCCTGAAGGCATTTGACCAGTACAGACTGAAGACCTGCATTGACTTCACACCATGGAAAGGAGAGGGGAACTACATCTCTGTGTTCAAAGGGAAAGGGTGAGCTGAGCTTCAAACTGCTGTGTTCAGTTCATGTAAACTGTATTGTTGAGGAGGACAAATATCATGTCAGCACTTACATGCTTGCTGGTTGAAAGTGTCTTGAGTGTACATGAGGTCCCAACAGATGTTGATGCCAACACTGCATCCTCAACAAATGTTTTTGCACTATTTCTATGTACATGATGGGTCAAATGACATGCAATGAGAAAGAGGTCACTTGTAATGGCACGGTATCAATAGATGCAGCTCCCCTCAGCTCTACAAAACCTTTTATCAGTTTTCTGCTCGTCGTTGTGGTTTAAAGTACTGCAGTGTTACTCATTTGGTCTAGTCTCACTGCTTTCATCAACCCTGTTTTCATCCATCCATACTGACTGACCTGTCCAGCACCAAAAGGCAGACACAGTTAGTCTCTTGCATGTGAACATCTTGCTTCCCCTCTCTGTAGATGCTTCTCCTATGTAGGCAACCAGCGTATGGGGAGGCAGCAGCTGTCCATTGGTGAATACTGTGATACTCTAGACACCGTTGAGCATGAGTTCCTGCACGCTCTGGGCTTCTGGCACGAGCAGTCCAGAGCCGACCGTGATGATTACGTCAACATCATGTGGGATCACATTGAACCTGGTAACGCTGATTTGTGACACTTGTAATTACAGCTCATCACTTACATTAGTGTACAGGTGCATCTAAAATAATTGGGGAAAAAATTCTAATTTGCACAAGTCATGAAATACAACATTTATCAGCAGACAAAGTTTGATGAATGCCCAGACCTACAGGTGCAGCTCAAAAAACATTGATTTTATTTCCACATTTTTTAGATGCAACTGTAAACTGTTTAGTGAATACTATACTATAAAATAAATGCCAAACTGTACAGAAACTACTCCTACATTTTCTCCGTATGCATGCCTGCTACATGAATAAATTTTTACAAAACACAACTGGCAGTTGTTTGTGATACTTACATAAAAAATAACAGCTGAATTCTTCCTGACATTCTTCTTCTGCCTTCCTCAGGTAAAGAGAACAACTTCAAAAGCTACAATGACACGGTGTCCAGTGCTCTAGGCGTTCCCTATGACTACAGCTCTGTAATGCACTACGGAAAGACGTACTTCAGCATTGATTCTAAGCCCACCATCGTCACCAAGATCCCCCACTTCATGGATGTGATTGGTCAGAGGATGGGGTTCAGTGCTAGTGACATAACCAAGCTCAACCGTCTCTACAACTGCAGTGAGTTCTGTCAGCCTGCCATTTGTCCATCAAAGAATCAATGAGACAGGTTACCTTCCATCCATCCATTATCATAGATGTTTGACATATTGTGAGCTATATTAGCACTGACGACCCAGGGTTAGGGTTACAATTTTGGATTTATTTACGCACTTTAAAAATATTTATTGAAAGTTTTATTCTTTTTACATGTTTATTTACAGCATTATATGTTGAAATGTATATTGTAATTGTAATAGCCAAATGAGTTCATGCTTGTGCTTGCAAGACACAGATGCTAGAACAAAAGGCACGCACACACACACACAAACACGCACATCTCTTTGTCTTAGTTTAGTGCAGTTTATTTTAGTTAGTTACATCTTGTGCTTAGTTTATCTTTTTAAATAAATGCTTATGTTTAAACATGCTAGTCGACAGGGCTCCAAGGCTCATTGATGAACATGGGGAGCAAAGACTGGTGCGTGTGGTCTGATCTAACAGACAAGCTACTGTGGGTCAAATTGCTAAAAAAGTTAATACTGGTTCTGACAGAAAAGTGTATCGCAGTTTGTTGTATGTGTAGTGGCAGACCAGTTAGTGTGCCCATGCTGAAAGCGCCTATAATGGGCATGTGAACATCAGAACTGGACCACTGAGCAGTGGAAGAAGGTGTCCTGGTCTGATGAGTCACGTGTGTGTCGCTTACCTGGGGAACACATGGCACCAGGATGTAGCCTACTATGGGAAGAAGGCAAGCAAGAACAATACACGAGAACAACAAAGGTGATCAGGTGATAACTGCCGTCAACTGTTGTTAGCTAGTAGCTGTGCCACAATCTTAGAGGCCCTAATAGCAGACTTAGTCCAGAATGGACACTAGAATCAGAGCCCATTGTTGGGGATCTGGTAGACTTACAATAACCAAACCGTCAGTGTCATAAAGGGGTTGTTCACTTAAAAATTCCAATATTTAGTCAGTTTAGTAAGTGTAAAGGATTGAAGTGGCAGTGGCAGAAAAACTAACACAAGCAAAAGCCAACGAGGGTGGAACTGACACAAACAGTAGGACGTGCTTAGCACAGAAACCAACAGCACTAAACAGGACTCTACAGTTTGTTACTTGCCAACAATAAAGCAAAAACAACGAAGCTTACTTTACAATACCAGTGTTATTAACCCATCTCTGCAAAGATAAATGGATAGCTGTTGGTGGTGATTCAGCATGTTTGGTCCGTCTGGCGTGCTCCAGTGGAGCTTCCTCAAACTGATGATGGGGCTGCGTTGTGGGTTTGGGCTAATCGTCGCGTAGCAGTGGAGGAAACAGCAAAGTCGACTTGGTTGAAAGAGACTGGGGTGTAGAAGTTATCTTTCTTTCTTGAAGAAAACAGTTGATCCGTGTCTCCCTTCTGCAGGCAATAGGAGATGGCTAGGTATACAGTGATCTTCTTCGGGATCCAAACGTGTTCAGTGAACACAAAACAGTCTGTTGCTCGTCCGGGGAATTGGAGACTGTTCGCTAAGATAATTAAAGTACAGTGTTGGCTAGCAGTGGAACTACAACACTGGGTGTAAGGTGTAATATTTCCTTTCTTGAAATTTGGTTATTTAAAAAATTTATTACACCAAAAAAGCTAAGAGAGCTTGTGTAATTTAGCAAACTTTAGCTCGCACACATTTCAAAGTTGAAACTATAGTGAAGGGCCAGAGATACTATTGCACTTCTTGAGGTACAAAGTGGTATTACGAGACAGCTGCACCTTTTTAGTCGTCCGACCACTCAAAGAGCTTGACATTACATGTCACATTGGTCCTTAGGTTTTTACTCTACAGACCCATGGCTTCTCTCTTAGGCTAATTAATGAGTTCATTTTGGCTTGCATATATTTAACTTTATGGCTCTGTAACAAAAGGAATCGAGGGATGATGTAACTTGTGTTGTCTGAGAATGTAAAATAATTGAGACTAAAGGAATGGGAACAAATGAGACAAGACACCGTATAGATCATTCAAGTCAAGTGTACTGAAGTGTCTTGATGAAATTGTTTTCCCTCCACAGCCAAGTCTTCTACATTCGTGGACAGTTGTGACTTTGAGGAGGAGAACATTTGTGGGATGATTCAGGGTCCTGGCAATGCAAAGTGGGAACAACGTAGTTCTGTGAAAGGAGGGCCTCAGACTGACTTCACCAACATGGGACAATGCAAAGGTGACTGTCAATCGTCAAAAAGAAGTCCTGGAGTTGTCCTTTTAAGATCTAGAGACTCTGAACGCTTCCAGAGATGCCAAATACATCACAATATATCAATGCCGTCTTGGGTTTCAGTATAATTTTATAATGAAATACTGGAAAAAGGTAAAACAGATAAACTTTATTCATCCCAAAGGAAGTTGCAGTACAAAGTAGGAAAGCGCAAATGTTCAGTAAAAGCCTAGTCCCAATTAGATGCCTGTCCTGTTACTGGTCTTATCTATCTACAAAAAGATTACAGTACAGAGAGAGATGACCGACCGACCAACCCTACCAGTAAATCTTAATGAATATTACTTTGGTGCTCAGTGTGTCAATAAAATGAACTAAACAATTGAATTGTATAATGTAATAAACAAAAAAACAAATTTACAAACAAAATTGTGATTGTGATTATCCCTCGACTCTAACTGCTGTCTCCAGCTATCAAACATATCAACTCAAAGCAGCTAACACAGTATGTCAATAACCACAGAACAAACTTAAAATAAAATAAAATAATAACATAATAATAAAATAATAACATAATAATCTTTATTTATAGAGCACTTTTCAAAACCATGTTACGAAGTGCTTTCACAGGTGCAAAGACAATAAAACACATTCAACAGATAACCAGAGACATGATGAAAGCAAGGAAAGACTTAAGGAATTAAAATTTAAAGTTAAAAGAAAATTTATAAATAAATAAAATCTAATATCAGAAAAAGCTATCCTATAAAAATATGTTTTAAAAGCACAGCAACTGATTATGGCAACACAGTATGAATGTATGAATGACGGCATCTGATTGTAATCCACCTGGAAATTGTCGCCATCCCTAGTGGGCCCTTGTAATTAGCTGGGCCCCGTCGGTACTTACACTCCTGCGTCTAGTTATCACTGTTTGGCCCTTGTTAACGTCGCTGAAATCTTTACTCTTGCCCATTTTCCCTGCCTCTTACACATCAACATTGAGGACAACATGTTCACTGCTGCCTAATATATCCCACCCACTGAAAGGTGCAAAGCTAATGAAATAATATGTGGTATTCATTTCCCCGGTCAGATATTTAAAAACAAAGGTGACTGAAGTGATTTATAGCATAACCGTTACAAAATACAGGCTGGCTGTAAACATACATTGATTATTGTTTGATGTATATATTAGTTATTTATTAGATACAATTCAGAGGGGTCTTCTTTTTGGTTGCTGTAAAAAGCTGAAACATAATTCTGGGATTTACTGGTCACACTATGCTAACGAGCTATCCACCCCTGTGCTGCTAAAGAACTTTGAATCCCACCCAACAAGTTCTCTCTGCCCTCAGGAAAAGGCTTCTTCATGCACTTCAGCACGGCCTCTGCTAAACCTGGTGACCGTGCAGTCCTGGAGAGTCGTTGGCTTTATCCCAAACCTGGAGCCCAGTGTCTGCAGTTCTTCCTCCATAACACCGGGGCAGCAGATGATGTTCTCAACATCTGGGTGCGAGAGGATGACCGCAGCAGAAAACTGAAGCTCTTCAAGAGTATTTCAGGTAACAAATTAAATATTGCGTATTGTATAATATATAATTAAAAATAAGGGAACATTTAATCATCACAGTATAACATCAAGTCAATACAACTTCAGGTATATCTATCTGTCTAGTTAGGAAGCATAAGTGATTGTGAAATTCACTTGTTTGGTGCAAATGAAAGTGATAAGAGGAGCACTGGAGAGGCAGCAGCTAACAAACCCCAAGAAGGGAAGGGTTTTGCTGGTGTTGCCCGCAGACAACTGCTCTCTCCTTATCCTTCCAGACTGACTGTTCTCTAGTTTTGCATTTTGAAAGTGTCCATGTCATTACTGGTAGAATGAGGTGGTACCTGCAGCCCGTTCAGGTTGCACAGGTAGTCCAGCTCCTCCAGGATGGCTCATCCATGTGTGCCAAGGACAGCTGGAGGGGGGCATCAACTCAACAGCAAGACCAGTATCTGCTCCTTTGTGCGAGGAGGAACAGGAGGAGCACTGCCAGAGACCTACAAATTGACCTCCAGTGGGCTACTGGTGTGCATGTCCTCTAGTGGGATCTGTGCTCACTGCCCAGCACCGTGCAGCTCGAATGGCATTCGCCAGAGAACACCAGAATTGGCAGGTCCACCATTGGTGCCCCGTTCTCTTCACAGATGAGAGCAGGTTCAAACTGAGAACATGTGACAGACGTGAAAGAATCTGGAGACGCTGTGATGAACGTTATGCTCCTCCTGGTGCAGGACAATGCCTGGCCTAATGTGACCAGAGTGTGTAGGTAGTTCCTTCATGATGAAAGCATTGATGCCACTGACTGGCCCTCACGTTCCCCAGAACTGAATCCAGTTGAGAACCTCTAGGACATAATGTATCGGTGCATCTGACGCTGCCAAGGATCACCCTGTGATTTTAATTATTTACTTTGATTTTCAGTGGGGTGTTCAGTGAATCCATCTCTCAATTGATTGGTGATTTTGATATCCATCGACATTGATATCCATCGTTGTAACATCATTTTGACCTCAATGAAGTATCCAATGTACAGTATAGACTTTAAACTACTGTATTTGTTCATCAAGGTCTGATGTGAGATTTAAATTTAAGATTAGAATTTAGATTTAAACGTTCCCTTCATTTTTGGAGCAGTGTATATAATGTGAAGTCAGAGTAGATTTCACCTACAACCTTACACGTAGTAATGAATTATTGATTAATAGTCATTAATATCTATTTTCTGTCCTCTTTTCAGGAGGCGTCAGGGGCTCTTGGGAACTGCAAAACATCAATCTGAATGTGACCAGGAAGGCCCGTGTGGTTTTTGAGGGCGTGAGGGGAAAGGGGCCATCGAAGGGAGGTTTCTCTCTGGATGACATTAACCTGTCATCCACAAAGTGCCCTCAGCACATCTGGCACATCCACAACATCACCGGCCTGCTGGCCACCACACCAGCAGGAAAGAAACTGTACAGCCCTCGCTTTCTGTCACCAGCAGGTTACTCCTTCCAGGTAAATGCCTTTTCAATGATTTTTATCTTCATTTTGCTCAATAAAAAGAATACAGAGACATTCATTTAGACAGAGAGAGGCATGTAGCAGTCCAACAAACAATATGCAATGCCTAAATTCAAAATTCCCCAAAATAACAATAAATACTTATCAAAAGCAGGCTTCTAATTTCTATCCATCAGCCCCTTTATTTATTTATTATTTTCTTTTAACCTGCAACTCCAAGAACTAATATAGCTAGGTAATGAAATGATAATAACTGCTGTTGGTAGCAAGATAATTAGCCAAAGGTAGCTCTTTTAATAGGTTTAGTGTTTTGGAGAGGCTAAAAACATACACAACCATCCAAACTCTTCATTTGCCAACCCTGACATGCCTGTTGTGTAGGCTATTGCTGATACTCTGGAAAACAAGTGTTCAAATGTAAATGTACACTGGCCACTGGAGTGTCAAGGCATGTGGGGGTGGGGGTGGGGGCTTTCAGGGCTTAGCAGTTCCTGAACAGTGCAAAGAAGCACAACAATACAATTAAATTAAGGGTGACATTGTGGGTTTTGGTTATGGTTAGCATTATTGTACCTCAGCATAGTTAAAGGCAGCTTCTCCTTGATATAACTGTTGATTTTACCCCCCAGCCCTTTTTCCAATGGAAGTAACACTACTGTTTACCTTTACATGTACATTTTTATAGAAGTACTTAATGGAACATTTTACTTGCTAAGTGCTCTTTCCATCCCTGGCAGTTGTTTTAATTTGTTGTTATGTTGGAATGTAACAAAGTCAATATATTTAAGTACTTAGTTACTGTATTTTAAAGTACTTTTACTTTACTGGAGGTACTTTTCCATTTTATGCCACTTAATACGCAAATATTGTACTTACAAAATAATATAAATCAACTAATAAATTACGATAAATTGTCTTAGATTACCCAGCTGCTATTAGCCCCACCTTACACTTGAATACACGACTTATTATAACCCAGTAATAATTTTCCTATTTATTCTGCATGATGAGTACTTTTTTGTTTGATACTACTATATTTTAATTCTAATACTTACATACTTTTACTTAAGTAAATAGTAGTAGGCCTAGATAGATTTTAATTGCAGGGATTTAGTATTTTACACTTCAGTAAAATACTTATTTTGCCTCAACATCATATACTGATGCAACTTTTTTTAATATCTCAACCTTAAGTTAATTGGTGTGATTTTGAAAGCAGCTGTCGGGTCGGAAATAAGGACCGGCCGGGCCAGTAAAAGACCTGGTCCCTACCCTAACCAACGTAATAAACTCAATAAAATTACTCTATTAGATTTCTTCTTTAGTCAAAAAACGGCGTAGTCAAAAACTTCACTGGAGACGGTCAAGAGTCGGTGCAAAAGAGTTTATTCCAATAAAGGACAGATAAACCCGAGCAACATCCCTGCAGGTCTCAGGATGGAACCGAGTTGGTGGTCAGCGAACATCGCCTTATATTCACCTTAAGCTCCACCTTGTCCCTCCTTTCAGGTGGGCGTTACATCTTAACTCCTCCTTATCTCCTCCTTCTAGGTGGGCGTTACACCTTAACTCCACCTATGGTGTTCGCTGACCATTCCTCCCCTTTGGTGGATCTCTTATCCTATACCGCCATCTAGTGGCCTTTTTCTTGTACTGTTTTACCAAATTAACCCTTTCATTAATGTTACAATTTCCACTTTTTAACTATTATTACATGTAATTATTATTACCATTTATCTCTCTTTATATTTTTTACATTACTGGATTAGAAATCCACCAATATGTTTCAACTTCAGTCCCACCGTATTTTTTTTAAAAGTTATACAGGCATAGTTTGACACCACAACACTTACAATCGTATTTTTTAAAATAATTAATAAGGAATAACATATTTCATACATGTATAACGTGATTCAATGAACAATTACATGATTTAGCAATGCCAATCATGAGAGTGCTTTGTCTCATACAAGTTTTCTTTCGGCAGCGCAGAGCTCGGTTTCATGCAGTACCTAGCCGTACCAGATGCCATAAATCACAACATGTCATGATCTCATTCTTGGCTTCAGTTCGCGATGATCTCAGCCCTGGCGTACGTGACTCACTGCATGTGCCTTGCTTCTAATGAGTGGGTTATGGTTGGCTAGGTTTTGCCTGCGCGGCCTGAGCAGCTTCTCTGCTCATGTAGGCTCATTAAAAAGCACACGTTCATGAATACACAGAGTATAGGAATAATGTATGATAAACACACAGAATATGAGAATAAAATATGAGTTTAAACTCACTCCTTAAACACTCAGTAGGTATACACTCAGTAGTAAAACACTCAGTAGTTTAAACACTCAGTAGTACACACTCAGTAGTCAAACTTCACACTAAAAGAATACTCAGTAGTGAAACACTCAGTAGTTATAACATATTTCAAACCATTGATAAGGTGTATAAATATAGAAAAAGAACCTAACAATCAATCTAGGAATTAGGCCTTATTCAACATCAATCAATCTAGGATTTAGGCCTTAACATATTTAGGCCTTATTCAACACTTCCCTCCTTTGCGGCTGTTAGGCCGCACATTCAATCACCTATACTGTAATGCACAGATAAATGGGACCTACTATCCCGTGATTACTGGTTCAACACGTAGATAGCACACTAATGAGCTGAATACGTGGATCCTCCAACTTGACTTGTGTTGTGCAGCATTTTGGCAATAGTGTGAAGTAGTGCTTTTGAATCATGGGGTGTCACTGAAAATTAAGTTTCAAGGCCATGTTAGCATCGTAAGATGAAGTGTGGATTAGGTAACAATAAAAGTACCACCCATGATCTTTGGTTCAACACATGTCTGCATCCGGATCCAAACAGCACTTGTATCTTAATATGAGAAAGAAGGAAAATGTAAAGCAAATATGTCCTCGTTCTGGTCAAGGGGAATCATTGACATTAGAGTGCCTACCGCCGAGACTCAGCGGTTCAACATGTGTACATGTGTGCACAAGGATCCAGGACCTTACATAAACATGTGTACTAGTTACTTTGGCGTGTGCTGTTTTTTGGCTAACATAAGTTTAAGCAAGCTCAAAACTTCTGTGCATGAAATGATTATGTGCGTGAGCTGTTTTCTTGCTATAATATGTTGTGCAAGCATAAATCGACGTAAGAGGTGAAAATTGGCAAAGTTAACACTTAGTGATAGGCACATAACAAACAAATATATAAAAACTTCCAGTGATGAGACTAAAAAATGTCCATCCCTAGAGGAACAGTTACTTCATCTGGACGATGTACATTGCTGTTTCCAGTTGCTCACAGCGTTTCCGCAGTTATTCACAGCGTTTCTCCAGTTGTTCACAGCGGGTTTGTAGGGTGTTACAACATTCTCTCAAGAGTTGAAGGTCATGTTGCTTGGCGGGTGCTCTGCGAAGTTGTCCCGTCTGCTGACGGAGTCTTGTTGCTATGCGGCCCAAAGCTCGGCGTCTGTCTTTCCTACGGGCGGCGATTGTTGCAGGCTGCATCTCACTCAGGAGTTGGTTGAACTCTTGTAGGGGCATCTTACCCCAATAATCAGGATCCCCGTCAGTGGTGGCTGGGGAAATGTCCCCTGGAGTGGAATCATCTGGTGCTTGTTGTGTTGGAGATGCAGAATCATTAGGTGTGTGTTGTGTTGTAGATGTAGAATCATCAGGTGTTTGTTGGGTTGTAGATGTGGCAAGGGAATAGGCCAGAATTCGTGCACTTCGTCTAAGGGGTCGTGTGTCCTCCGGGAAGTTGTGTTGCTCAGTGCGTGGTGTGTCGTCATCGCTTGGCTGTTGAGGAGAATGAACTGTGGGAGATTTCCATGGCAGTGGCATTGGAGCCTGTGGTCTTGGATCCGGCGTGGTTGGACTATATTGATGTATGGAGTCCGTAGAATATCCATCAGTGAAGCTCATGTCTGAGGTGTGTGGGGAGGCTGAGCGTGGACGTGCGTCAGTGGAGGTGTGAGGTCCCTGCTGCTCCGTAATCCCCATTGCAGCTTGTCCTGCTGCCAGGTCGGCTAGTGGTACCAAAGGATTGTATGGATCCGTAACTTGACTTGGTGCATCTTCCCCCTCTCTGTCTCGGCATCTAAATACCACGAGACGCTGTAGACTGGGTAGAGAACGTGGTAGTGCACACCAATCAGGGGGTGGAGTTTCTTGTGCGTCAAGGAGCTGAAGTGATCCCTCAGAGTTAATAAAGAGATTCTGATGTGCGCCCTGCTGTGCAAGCATCTCTCTGACATGATGACATTGTTGGGATGCCATGTCCCCTGGTTCATCAATGCGACGTGGAGGTACAACTTGATTCCAGTTAACCGGTGGGTTCGGTGGTTGTGAGCGTGGTGGAACTGGCGCGGTCCACATCTGGCCTGGAGAGTGTGGCGTTGGTTGAGTGAGTAGTTGCCTTAGCATGGATCCTGGGGGTGGCAGCAGCCCAAACCCTCCTTGGGTCGGCATAACTGGCGGCCATGACCCTGACGTTGATGGCAGCGCACTGTTAGGTTCCATGGTAGACCATGAGTATGGAGGTGGCGGTGGACGTTCCTCATGCACTGACTGTGCGGTGAATCCTGTGCTGGCCAAAGTAATCTGATAATTGCTGAGCAATGGTGGCCTGGGTTGAGGTTGTGGCCCTAGTGTATAATTCTGGCTTCTCCAGTACTCCCAACTTTCCTGACTCTGCCCTAACTGAGGGGAATAATTCGGTTGGTTGCCTGCTCCGGCATTTCCTTGTCCTTCAGCCATTTTTGTATCTATTAAAAGAATAACAGACAGTTAGTCCTCTATTGGCACAACGTTATGTTTTGGGCAGGCTCGGTATTTAGTAGTGGGTTTCTTCCCTGTGTGTAGGAGGCGTAGACATAAGTGTCGCCTATGCATTGACTCACATTTTTCTGACAATTGCCTGAAATGATCACTGCCCTGTCTTGTCAATGCTGGGTAGGTTGTAAACAAAGTTGTGGTACCTGC